TCACCAGAGACACCTGGACAGGTCTCCAGTTCACCAGAGACACCTGGACAGGTCTCCAGTTCACCAGAGACACCTGGACAGGTCTCCAGTCTCCATCAGGGACCTAAAAGAGACAATCAACCATCCACACTCTGTCACACCTAGAGTCACACAGAAGAGCTCCAGAAGGTTGAGAACTCTGGACTCAGATCATCTGCTGCACACAGTTCTAATCATTTATTATCAATAAGAATTTTATTGATAATTATCATGAGGAGTCCTTAACTAGGATGTAGTTAGGCAATTAAACATTTATGTAGGTGTAAATTTATTACCATAATTGCAGGTGAGTCACGTAAATTTATGTTTTTATAAAACAAGTACCCCCCCGCCAAGACCAATTTCCTAGCGGAAACACTGAAGTCCTTGTGTGTGTCATCATATTTGGCCAATAAAGCTGATTCTGATTTAACATTAGAGTTTTACATGTTATTTTTTTAATCACTGATCAATAAGGCAATATTAACTCGAAAATAATTAGTTAACGATCTAGTGCTAATGCTTTTTATTTGAACCAGAATTGTAGACAATTAACTTACTGAAAAGTATTTAAAGTGATTCTATAAAATTCTAAGTGCAAATGTTTAAGAGCTGAACATATTATAAACATCTTAAAGTTTCATGGTATTTTTTTAGACACATGCCCCTCAGATGGACAACTCCTGTAGTTTGACCCTATGGATCTTTGGCCTTGGATAAACCAGAATGATGAACACAGAATATTGATTAACGGAAATATTACTGATATTTACAAAAGGTTATGCAGGTTTTTTTTAAAAATAATAACACATAAAAGTCTGCAATTTAATTAGCATTAGTTGAATCTTATTATCTTATATTATTTCACTTAAATATCTAATATGTCTAGTTTTATCCTCGTGAGACCCAGAAGAACCTATTTCAGATACTTGGAATGAAACTGGTGAAACCGATTAAGTGTAACAGCGGACTGCCATACACGTGAGCTTCATTTCTCATGCTGCTGAAATGATCTGCAGCGCTCAGACCTCGACTGTTAAATTAACAAGATGGACTTAAGAGCAAGCAACTGTCCATTTTCTTTTCATCCCCACGGTTAACAAGAGAAAAATGTTTTACAAACTCCGATCTGGGTTAAAAAACACAAAAACAAAAACAGTTGTTTTGCTATGCATGTGCGCGCTCGTGTGTGTACAGGTTTTTGCTTCATGACGGGAACAATTATTGACCATTTCCCTGGACCTGCTACACACAGCCAGGTGAGGTTAGGGTTTGGGTCAGGTGTGTAGCCTACCTGGGAGGTTATGCTCACATTTTCAAAATTATTATCTAAGTTAATTTTATGGCGATTTTTCAGAGAGTATCATTTTTTCTGATACACCCTGTAGATGTGTTGGCCAACTAATGTAAGCACAATCATTTTGAAGGGATGTTTAATTTTGATGGGATAATTAATCCAAATTCTAATGATATTGATWTAGTCTTTTTGTTTGTTCTTTCTAGGTAACATCCACTGTTTTACACAACAGTGTTTTAGAGGTGACACGTCATGGGTAGCTGGTATTCCTGAAACTGCCAGAATGTCTTCAGTCCCAGGACTTCCTACGAGAGGATCAGATGTAACAGTTCTCATAACCAGAGTTCACTTGCATCCATTATGTGCACTGGTGGAGTTTTGGGGCAAATTTAGTCAGGAACAGATAACCAATTATGAGAGTCTAGCCAAAGACATTCAGTCTCCTGGAGCCACATTTAAAGACCTGGAGGGAGATCCTGGTAACCAATGCTTGGCTCAGATAGATGGTACATGGTACCGATCACGCATAGTTTCAAGAGATGGCTCGAAATATAGTGTGTTTCTCATTGACAAAGGGATCACTTACACTKCCAACACAAACAATCTGGCATGGGGTGAAAAGAAGCATTTTCAGTTGCCTCCTGAAGTGGAGTTTTGTGTGTTGGCTAATGTGTTACCACTCTCACCTGAGAACAGATGGTCTCCAGTGGCTCTTGAATTTCTCAAATCTCTCTCTGGAAAGTCTGTGACAGCACATGTCCAAGATGTACTGGTCTCACACCGAACAGTTCTCCTGCAAATCCCTTGCATATCTAAACAAATGTATGAGATGGGATTTGCAAAGAAGTTGTTTCCAGTAGCCTTTCAGGAATTTGTCATCAAGTCACTGGAGCCCCACAACGGAGCTGAAACCTCTCCAGAGATCCTGCAGGTCACCATGGGATCAGGGGAGCGTCTAAACAAGCAAGATCTGTTCATGTACCCAGAACTGCCGGGGGGAACTGTGGAGACAGTCCTTGTAACAGAAGTGACAAATCCACTAAGGATTTTTTGCCAGTTAAAAGTTTTCTCACAAGAGCTAAAGAAACTTTCTGTGAAAATTACACAGAACTATGAGGGCAGAGTTTCCAGTTGCATTATAAGCCATGACATGATTGGGTTTCCATGTGCAGCAAGAGGAGGTGATGGCAAATGGTACCGTTCTGTCCTACAGCAGGTGTTCCCAACAAATAACCTGGTGGAAGTATTGAATGTTGACTATGGAACTAAACAAGTAGTTCAAGGGGAGAATGTGAGGCCACTGACTGCAGAGTTCTTCAGGATGCCTGTCGTTACATACATGTGCTCTCTCCATGGAATCATTGACAAAGGAGTGGGATGGACAGCCGGCCAAGTTGACTTTCTCAGGTCCCTTCTGTTCTCCAAGACTGTGATTGCCAAATTTGAATACCAAAGTATTGCTGAGGGAGTTTACTATGTCACTCTCTATGGTGACGACAACACAAATCTTAATACTTTATTTGGTTCCAAAGAAAAGTGTTTGCTTGAGTGTGAGAAAGCACTTGGGCATTATGCCATTCAAAGCACCCCAGACAGCCACCATTTTCTCTCTCAACGAGGACAGAAGATGTTGACTTTTCAAATGACTGCAAAACAAAAYGATGCAAAACCAGCGGAAAGGCCTCTCACCGAATATCTTCCTCTGAACTCTTCAAGCCTGGCTACTGTGGAGCACATATCCAACCCATTAGAGTTTTGGATCCAAACTGAGAACCACAAAACAGAATTGGATGAACTGTTTGAAAGGATGCACCATCTGTACCATGACTCAACAAATAAATGTGTGGTGGAAAATCCAACTCTTGGACTTCACTGTGCCGCCCAGGCAGAAGATGGAGAATTCTACAGAGCAACTGTAGCAGAGCTAAGTGAGACTCAAGTCACAGTGTTTTTTGTTGATTATGGAAACATGGAAGTGGTTGACAAGAGTAACATCAGGACCCTCCTTCCTGAGTTCAAAAAGATGCCACACCTTGCACTGAAATGCTCCCTGGCAGATGTTAAACCCAAAGATGGTAAGTGGAGTCAAAGTGCCTTGGACTTTTTTATCCAGTCAGTCACAAAAAAAGTACTGAATGTACATGTGAAAGCAAAATACAATGACAACTATATTGTTCAACTAACAGATTTGAAAGCACAAGGTGAACAAGATGTTGGTACACAGATGTGCAGTTTAAGCCTTGCTGAAAGGGCTGAGATTCAAAGAGAGCCCACTGTAAAAACTGTAAACACTGTAAAAAGTGCCATAAAGACTTCTGCTACACAGCTTCCAGGTCATTTTAAAAATAGTGGAAATGCTTTCCAGTGCCCACCGAGTTTGACTTGCAATCAGAGAAATTTTGCTACCTTTAAGGAATACATGTTTCCCATTGGTAGTGTCCTTGATGTCAGTGTGTCCTACATTGAAAGTCCAAATGACTTCTGGTGCCAGCTGGTACAAAATGCAGGGTGCTTGAAATTGCTCATGCACGACCTACAGGCTCATTATGCTGGCAGTGAATTTGAGCCTAATGTGGAAATTGCTTGTGTTGCTCGACACCCTGACAATGAAATGTGGTACAGAGCCCTCGTGATCCACAAACATGAAACCCCTTATGTGGACGTGTTGTTTGTCGACTATGGACAGACCAAAACAGTCTCTGTTTTCGACCTCAGGAAAATCCGTTCAGAATACCTCACTCTGCAAGGTCAAGCTTTTCGGTGCAGTCTGTTAAACCTCATCACTCCCACATCTGCTATAAATGAGTGGAATGAAGACGCAAAAGTAAGTTTTCAAAACTTTGTGAAAACAGCTGCATCCAAATTTATTATTTTGAAATGCACCATTTATGCCATCATGAACAATGAAAAGATGACTCTTTACAATATTGTGGATCTGGAAACTCCTTTTGAAAGTATCTGCACTACTATGGCTAATCTTGTCACAGGCGTCCCTCCCAAGAAAGCCATTGGGCCATCTTTCCGACTGGACACGTACTACTATTCGACGCACAATGTCAAAACTGGTGCAGAGGAGCAAGTCATAGTAACGTGTGTAAATGATGTCAACCAGTTCTACTGCCACCTCAACAAGAATGCTGATGTGACACAAGACCTTCAGATAAAAGTGAACAGCCTCTGCCAGTCCCTTGAAAAGGTCAAGTTTCCAACAGTCTTTGGAACTTTGTGTTTTGCAAGGTACACTGATGGACAGTGGTACAGGGCCCAGATAAAGACCACAAGGCCAGCAATTCTGGTTCACTTTGTGGATTATGGTGACACTATTGAGGTGGACAAGTCTGACTTGCTCCCTATTCCGAAAGAGGCAAATGACATAATGTCTGTACCAGTGCAAGCAGTTTTGTGTGGTCTGTCTGACATTCCTGCTAATGTTCCCATTGAGGTGAATAAATGGTTTGAGACATTTGTGGCAGAATGTCCTTTCCGAGCCCTAATAGTGGCTAAAGAACCTGATGGCAAATTGCTGGTCGAACTGTACCATGGAAATACTCAGATCAATGCCAAAATCTTAAGAGAGTTTCAGATTGAGGTGCAAACAGAAAACCAGGTTGTCTGTCAGGGTCATAAAGCTCGAGAACCTTCAGCAAACCATTCACAAAAGTCCCCAAAGGCTTATCCAAACCAGTCTACAGAGACTGAAGACTATAAACATGCTCCAAAAAAGAAAAATTTCTCAGCCCCAAAGCCCCTATGTCAAATTCAGACTAAAGAGAAACTCATTGATATGAACCTGAAGAAGGCACAGAAACCAGAAAATGGTCAGAAGATCAGACCAACTCCAAAAGAGCTATACAAACCTCCACACCAAAGGCAGTGTTATGGAGCAATGCTTAATGTCTGTCAGCAAGCTGCTGATCAAGTGAAACCAAAAGGAGAAGAAAACTTACCCTTCAAACCCAGATATCTCCAATCACCTGAGACAAAGTCCGAGAGAGAAAACCATACTGAAAAGCTTCCTAAATTGTCTGACCTGCCTTCAGATAACATCATTCCTGGTGTGGCAGTGGATGTTTACGTGTCACATTGCAACAGCCCCTTGAGTTTTTATGTGCAATGTGTCAGCAAAGAGGATGAAATATTTTCCCTGGTGGAAAAGCTTAATGATGCAGAATCAACTGTAAAAGAMAACCTCAGAGATGTGCATCCTGGTGACCTCATTCAAGCAGAGTTTGCAGAAGATTTGTCATGGTATCGCGCTGTTGTAAAAGAAATCTGTGGAGATGAATTGGCCATTGTTGAGTTTGTAGATTTTGGAAACTCTGCATTGACACCATTTTTCAAAATGGGCAGACTACACACATCTCTCTTGCAGTTGCCTGTTTACAGCACACACTGTATGCTGAGTGATGCTGCAGTTCTTGGAGAAGAGAGAGTTCTCCATCCACAAGTGGTGTCTGCATTCAAGGAAGACATTGGTTGCTGTGGAGAGAAGGTATTTAAGTGTCAGTTCATCAGACAGGTGGGATCTATGTGGGAGGTCAATCTGGAAGAGGATGGTGTGAATATTGTTCCTAAGATGTCATCTGGAGGCAGTGAGATCATAAAGGAGACACAGGTGAAGGAGCACCCAGCTCAGATCTTTTACCTCAGGCAAGAGACAGAAAGCACAATGAAATCCTCTGTGAACACCTGCTCTCTACAATACCCACAACAGCAAGACATTTTAGAGGGCCAGCAGCTAGAGGCCTACATCACAATCATCAACGATGGTCTTTCGTTCTACGCTCAGTCTGCCAATTCAGAGGAACTTAACAAGATAACAATAAGTGTCTCGGAAGTTGGTAATACTGCAGATAAATGTATTAATTTAGATGCTTTCTCCCCTGGAAGCCCATGCATCGCTCTCTTTTCTGATGATCAGCTTTGGTATCGTGCAGAAGTCATCGACAAAAATGGAGAAGAGCTGTCTGTTCTTTTTGTGGACTATGGAAACATGTCTCAAGTCAGCAAAACCGATGTCAGAGAAATGCCACGTTTCTTGGTGGAAATTCCACCACAGGCATTTTTGTGTGAACTCGAAGGCTTTGACACTTCATGTGGATCCTGGGTCAGCAGTGCTGAAGACACGTTGTCCACACTGACATCAGACAAACTGTTAAAACTGACTGTCACTAGAGTAGTAAGATCTGATAAAAAAATCAAGTGTTTTGTACACATGTACTGTAAAAGCCAGGTGATAAATGAGGTCATGAAAACTTGGTGGTTACCCCATACAACAGCAGATACATCTGAATCAGACAGGCTGATCACTTTATCTGAATCATCTCCTCAGCTTGACTTAACTGCCATTGTACCGGAGGATCCACTAAAGAATCCTGATGTGCAAGATATGTTCATTACCGCAACTTGCCTTCACTCTCAGAGTGAGAATAACGAGGAACAAAGTGCTGAGGAGCTCAGCATCACTTCTATGATAGATGAGGTCTTTAACTTAGCAGAAAGTCCGAAGCACAGCGAATGCTCTGACAGTTCGGTTCAGTTTAAGTCTTTTGTCCAGTCCACGGAAGAGGAACAGGATTCCACTGAGCGGGATAATGTATTACATGACATAACCATCACCAAAGATTTTTTGCCATGCACTGGTGAAACAGAAGAAACAAAGTTTCTGTTAGTTGGTAATAAAGAAGACCAAGATGCTTTGTACATAAGCTGTAAAGTGACTGTGGCCACAGGTGAAGGTGCTGATGAGATGAGCGCCTCAGAGGTTCATACTCAAGAGGAAGATGTTTTTGGTTCTCCACTGAAGGAGAATTTTCCAGTGTCCATGGATGAGCTGAACACTGAAACCTTTGACATGGAAACTTTGTCTGCTGACAGCTTGGACAATGAACCGCCTTCTGGTAAGCAAGACATCAGTTTGTTTCTTCTGGTTGTTATGCTTGTTGATCAAATGACTATTGTTTTTGCTTATGATCTGACAGTAATCTTAATGTATTTATTTTCTCTTTCCCTTTTTGCCAAGATCTGTTTATTGCAAGTTGTGACAGAAAAGATGGTTTTCCCAGGGGCAACTCTTCAACAGTGAAAATGGTAAATTTAATTTTGAGTTATGCAGGCATTGGCTGTACTGCTAGTAATGTATATAAATAGKAGGGGTGCAGAATACAGAAAATTCACAATTCAGTTCGATATTTTTTCAATACAAAAAAGACAAATTTCCACACCCGTAACTTGTTTTTATTGAAATAATTATGAACATTTTTTTACCCTCAAAAGTACACCAGGAAAGTATTCCATCAGGGAAAATATTTCATCCTCTTTGCTGACAAAGTACCCTCAAAAGTTTAAATAAAATTTTGCTGAAACAGCAAGTTTCTCAGTGGATCTGCGCTCGACAGTGCAGCTTAGGTGGAATAGTGGAACACAGATCCTCTGAGCCTTCAACACAGAGCATCTTCAGAAGATAATTTGATAAAATAAATTTAAAATACAAGTACGTATTGAACCTAGAGCACTGTATTGAAAAATTTGATACAGATTTATGTATTGTTGCAGCCCTAATAGGTAAGCTAATCGTCCTTTAGGGTTCCTTGAAATGTTGCTCTGCATATAAAACAATCATTCAGATCACATTCCATGTAAATGTGGTCTTTTTTGATCCCAGAGGGAAATTAGATGACATTGTAACTCATATAACTAAAGAGTTATTCTAGATCACGTGTCAAACTCAAGGCCTGTGGGTGACAAACAATGTATATTTTTTAATTAACATGAAAATTGTTTCTTTTATCAATGGTAAACTTTAAATTTATGATTATATATGCAACAAAATAAATTTCAAGGGTGAAAGATAACAATTGTCCTGCCCCTGAGATGTCGGCTTTAAGTAACTGAGCAATTTAGTTGGATAGCACAGTATTAATATAAAAATATGCTGCTTGTCAGCATCAACCATAAACTACATCTGCCATAATGCATACTAGCTACTCACTAGAAACTCATCAGTGAGTAAAACTTTTAATTTTACTTTTAATATTTCTGTATTTATTTTAGGGCTTAAACGATTCCTCGAATAATTCGAGTAATTCGATTACAAAAAATCCTCGAGACAAATTTATCTGCCTCGAAGCTTCGTAAAAAATTCATACTTTTATAATCAGCGTTATTTGTGTTACACCCAATGCTACGATGTTAGCGCTTCCGCTAACAGTTAAGGCTCCCACATACTCAAGCGCACACGGTCCAAGGAGGTCCGAGCGGACTTGAGCACAAGTATATGATTGGCCTCGGGTTCAAGTACACCTCGCTGCAGCCAAAGCGGACGTCCGCCGGATCGGACCGCGTAGAGAATTTTTTTACGGCCACGTATGCATACTCTGTGTCGCGCGAGAAACAGGACCTTGGACTGTTGACGCGTCATGCGCGTACGCTTGCTAAACGCTATGTTTAGCTTCAGAAGAGGACGAAGAGTGCTGAAACGAAGCGCTCAGAAAACGACAAATTATAAAAAGCATGGGAACATTTAAAACTAAACTGAAAAGACAACGCGCATCTGCTCTGCACGTGTTTTAAAACAGCTGCTGCATGACCCGAACGCGTCCGGGGTTAACCACAGATATTGGTTTACGTTCACTTTGCTTACCTAAATCTGTGATAATCTGTCATGTTACAGATGTACAAGGAGGAGGGATATTTAAACTAACGTTATTTGTGCTGACCAGGCATGGTGACCTGGCAGGGTTTTATTAAAGTGTGTAAGTTGTATGATTAAAAACAAGACTTACTGTAAATTTGTCAGATAAAAATAAAAGC